TTCCAATGGAGGAAACATTGTTTCACTCAACGATGTTTCCTATGGGTTTTTTCACTTAAAGACGGCAATCCGTTCCAATTGGAACGGATTAACCGGTTTTCAATGCATTCCTATGGGAAATGGTGTTTCACAGAACGATGTTTCACACAACGTTGATTTTTTTGGAACCAATTAACATTGTTGTGTGAGGCACCACTGTAATTTTAAACAGTTTTGGCAGTGGATGGATGGATGGATGGATGGATGGATGGATGGATGGATGGATGGATGGATGGATGGATGGATGCGTTGACACAAGTACTAATAAAGCAACACTGCTATTCACATCCCCTTTGGACACAGACCACTCAAATTCTACCTCCCAAGCTTTCACTCACAGTTTTAGCCAACAGTCCAAGCTCTAACACACAGCTGTTACTGAACTGTGTCTTGTCAGAACTGGACCTCTGTCACACACACCATTATGTACAGAACAGAATCTCTCCACCAAGAATTATATCAATCAGGTTGCCACTCCATTCATATGCATTATTTCACACTGTTCAACTCTCATAACTATCACTGCTTATACACATACCTCCATTACACCGTCAGTCAGTCCCAGCCACTTACCCTTAGGGGTGGGACTTTTAGTCCCAAAGTCACCTAGAATCGTCTAGGCCGACTTCTGATCTCTTCTTAAAGAGATGAGGAAACCAAAAGGCAAAACAGATTTTTCTACCACTGTTATTGGCCTTGTGGTAGTGGTGGCAGCGAAGAAGTCATTATTTTTTGCCACCATTGTGTCTGCACAGAGTTCTTTCAAGTGGTCAGAGGCCTACTAAATGGTGGCTCACAGGAAGAGAATGCAGACCAGACTGTAGCTCACTATGGAAAATTTTTGTGACACTTTGCAAGCAAAATTACTCAGATCCAATATGACTTGGATGCTGTAGTCAACACAGGTCCTGTGAATTAAAAACTATGGCCTCTGTTTATCCTATGTTAGTGGACAATTGTGGGCAATCCATGCACAATGAAGTGCCTAAATCATGAAAGTAAATAAAATATGGTAAAGAAAATAATCACCTTGCAAATAGGTTGACTACAGAAATAAAAAGTGATCCTTTGGCTTCCACCTTCTTTTCTATTCTTTACACTCACCTACCTAGTAGAAGGAGAAGTGCACCTCACATGTATTCTGGCTCGCCTGTATAAATTGTTTTATTGTTATTGTCCTGTGAATTATTGGCCAGAATCCTGTGAGTTAACTTCCCAGCACCACACCTTTAGTAAATTTCAGTGCCAAATTGCTGTGAGTTAAGAAGTCAACATAGACATTTGCTGTTGTACACCAGTTGTGTGGCACAACAGATGTCTGCTGTTTTATTAATTTGCAGGACGTCACTCTTGAATTTATGCTGATAGAGCTACACTGACTTACCGTATTTTTCTGTGTATAAAAGACTATACTTTTGTCTAAAATCTTTAGACTAAAAATTGAGGGTCATTTTATACACGGAAGTAAGCTGAGGAGAGAACAAAAACAAGTGGAGGGGAAAGCAGGGATCAAAGTGATCCTGCAGCGCTTTGATCCCTTTCCCCCTTCACTTGCTAAGCCCTACTTACTTTGGATTAGAAAAGTGGGGGGCATCTTATACATGGGGGCTTTTTATACAGGAAAAATATGGTAAGTTTTTATTTGGATTTCATGTGAACACGAATTTGGGGAAGTTATATCTAGGCTTTTCCTTTGCCACTGGGACACTCAATGCAGAAGAAGGAAGATATCACCCCTCAATGTATTCGCAAAGGCTTTCACGGCCAGGATCTAATGGTTGTTGTGGGGTTTTCGGGCTCTTTGGCCGAGTTCTGAAGGTTGTTCGTCCTAACGTTTTGCCAGTCTCTGTGGCCGGCCTCTGAGACTGGCGAAACGTTAGGAAGAACAACCTCCAGAACACGGCCAAAGAGCCCGAAAAACCCACAAAAACCAATTCAATAGGTGGATTGGACTGCATTGCTTGAGTCAGAGCATAATTTTTGATCTCTGATTATTTCATCAGTACATCATCTGTCTATCTTTCTATTTAATTATTATTTCAACTTGTATATATCCCCATTAGTGTAAATGCTTTCTGGGCGGTTCACAACATGTCAAATCACATTAAAAACAACAATATACAATAAATACCATAAAATAAATAAAACCTGACACTAGCTTAAAAGTCTGCTTTTAAATAGAACTAAACAAATTTAAAACAAATTTAGACATCTTAGGCCAGTGGTAAAAGGCAACTAATAAAAGGCAGCTTTAAATAATGCTTTGTTTACTCATTTCATAAAAACTGAGAGGAATGTTGTCTGACAAACCTCTTTTGCAACCGTTTGTTCCAGAGGGGAGGGGCCATAACAAAGAAAGTGCAGTTCCTGGTGTTCGCTCTTTTGGCCTCCTAAGGTGCCTCCATTTTTAACATCATGGGCTGCAAGGAGTGGGACGGGTAGCTGTTTTGTGGGAGAGATGTTCCAAGAAGGATCAAGGTCCTAAACTATTAAGGGCTTTATGTGTCATGACCAGCACCATGAACTGTGCACAGAAACTAACAGGGAGCCAATGAAAGCATTGGAAGCATGTGTTCATATCTGCTGGTATCTGTGATCAGTCTGGCAGTTGTATTTCGGATTTGATTAAGATTCTGTACAGACTTCAAGGGCAGCCCTACATGGAGAGCATTTTAGAAGTCTGTTTTAAAGGTTACCATCACATGAACCACTGTTGTTAGGCATTTATTCTGCGTAGGGGCACAGTTGGGCAATGAACCAAGGCTGATGAAAGGCATTCTTGGGCAAAGCAGATATTTCCAGAGAGCTGGGTCCAAGAGTATACCAAGACTGTGAACCCAATCGTTCATGGGGAGTGTAACTTTGTCAAGGCCAGATAAATATCCCAGTAGTATTTCCTTCTTATCAGGGCTCAGTTTTAGTTTATTAGTCCTCATCTAGTCCATTATCAATGCTAGGCAATGCTCAAGGACCTGTACAGCATCACCTGCAGGTGAGGAAAAGTTGTGTGTCATCTGCATATAGATGACTATGAACCTTAAATTTCCATATGACTACTCCTAGCAGCTTCATTTAGATATTGAAAGGCATTAGGGAAATGGCCGATCCCTGAGGGAGTCCATAATGGAAGTTCTAAGAGGTGGGCATCATCTCCCCTAGCTATACCATCTACCATTGGCCTTGAATGATGAACTCTTGAAGAATGGCACCTCCAATTCCTAAATTTGAAAGCTGTCTCAGAAGATTATCATAGTTGGTAGTGTCAAAAGCCGCAGAAAGATCCAGGAGGACCAGCAGGATTACACTCCTCCTGCCTGTCTGCCTCAGGAGATCATCTTGTAGAGGGATCAGTACCATTTCAGTTCTATGATGTGGCCTATACCCTGATTGGAATGGATTTAGGCCAGTTTTCCCAACCTTGCATCCTGAAACATTCTTGGACTAAAATTCCCAGACACCTTTGCTCCCAGGATTTCTAGGAGTTGTAGTCCAAGAATATCTAGGAACCCATGGTTGAGAATAACTGATCTAGGTTATCTGTTTCCTCCAAGAACCACCTACAGCTAGTCAGCCACCACTTTGATCTACTTGCCCAAGAATTGAATATTAGCAATGAGCCTATAGTTATTAAAATAATCTGTTGGTAAATTTGGTTTCATTGGACTGGAAGTTACAGTGGTCTCCTTCAAATAGGAAAGTAAATGACAGTCCCATAGATATGCATTAATGATGTGCATAGCCTGTTCTATAGTAAAATCGTTTTGCTGGTTTAAGAGCCACAGTTGGCAAGGATTTAGAGAAGAGGAGGTGGCTTTGCAACATACAAGTGTCTTGTTCACATCGTCAGACCGTATTATTTATGCAGTAATCTTGGTTGTGCTTATGCATGACTTTTATCCTTATACATGAGGCATTTTACCACTAGTTTAAATACTTTGATGCTCTGTTTTAGTCATGTATGTTAGTACAGTGGTGGCTCACTTAGCGATGTTAATCCGTGCAGCAAAAATCGCTGCTAAGCGATAACATCGCAAAGCGATTTTTAAAAGCCCATAGAAACGCATTAAAACGTGTTTAATGCATTCCTATGGGCTTAAAAACTAACCTTATGCGAAAATCCTCCATGGGGCGGCCATTTTCGGTGCCTCTAAAGCGAGGCAAAACAGCGGGCGGCAATTTTTCCCCCCCGGCGGCCATTTTGGAACCGCCGATCAGCTGGCTGAAAATGGAGGCTTTGCGATGATCGCTTCCCCGCAATCATCGCAAAGCGAATTTCCCCCATAGGAAACATCGCAAAGCAATCACTTTTGCGATCGCAAAAACAGTGGTAAGCGATTTTGCCGTAAAACAGCGATCACTAAGCGAGGCACCATTGTATAATTAAAGTACTTCAGAATGTATGTTGAATATATGAGTACTTGACACGACCATATTGCATACGTATTTTATCTCTAAATGATAGTTAAATTAATTTCTGAAGGAGTGAATTACAAATGTAAATATGTATTCTTTTGTTTGCCTGCAAATACAGGGCAGCACAATTATCTCTGTGCGGGAAGAAATGATTGCATTATTGACAAAATTCGGAGAAAAAACTGCCCAGCTTGCCGCTACCGGAAATGTCTTCAAGCTGGCATGAATCTAGAAGGTAATTTAGAAAAAGTTTTGTTTCTGAAACCCAGACAAGCTTAACTTTTCATCTAACTGATTCTAAGAATACAAGAACTTTATATTTGACTTGTGTAAATGCATCCCATGAATAGCTGAGGGCTGTGTCCAAGGAAGCCTCAACATGCAACTGTGTGTAGGCTTTTTTAGCTTAAGGTATGATTTGTGGATCTTACAGGCTGCGAAAGAAAGTTGGAGAGAAAGGCTACTGACTTGGGCCCATTGCTCTGTTTTACATGTGGGACCCTCTTTGTGAAGCATAAAATATGACTGGGATTATTGGCAGTATGACCAATGTGTTTATGTATTCTTAGTGAGTTTTCATTGCTATATATATTTAATGCATACGTTTGGCAGGTGTGGGGAGCAACTGGGCTGCATACACCAGCACAACAAGTTAGGGTTCTTATGGTCCACTACCTTGTCATGTTGAGTGGCCATAGCTATTTTATTTTGTGATACAGCAATAAATGCTGATATTATTAGACAGTGCTAGATACAGAAAAAGATGAAGAAGCTGTTATATACAAGGAGAGTTAATGAGAAATGTGGTAGAGAAGTAGCTGAAGCAGCTACTTGCCATGTAAACAGTCAAATCCGAGTACAAACACTTGTCTAGAAGTACCATAGTTATCAGTTCCATGTTCCTTGCTCTGAGTGCCACAGTTTGCACCTATTTGATGTGGCAATTTAGAAATGGGTTATGTTACTGTTTGTTCCATGTGTATGGTAAAACCAGGTTTGATTTATCTTTAGTTTCAATAACCAGATTCAGACTTGGACAGGTGAAGGGGATTACCTGTAGTAGGAACAGCTTGCTAAATAGGTTTTCCATCTTTATTCCTGGACTTGAAATGGTGCTGCTGGGCATGCTTAGCAGTATCAATTCCTGCTAGAAGCAGCATTTTTAGGAGGGTCTTCATTCTACTAATGAATTTTAGAAATTCATTAGTAGAATAGCCATAAGCAAGCCCTCCTAATAATCAATACTTGCTGCTCCTCATTTGCAGAGTTGGGATATTTAGTTTGCAAAAGTCAAACCACAATGTCACATAATAACCGCCCTTGGGCCAGCCCTTCCTGGCCTGGCCCTCACTGGCCCATTATGTGACTAGACTCTGTAGAGGGCCTCTCTTGAAGAACTGTGGCTTCTAGGAAGCACCGTGGCACTGTCAGAGGTACATAATGAGAAAGCTAAGGCCTTGCATGAGGTGAAATCTGGAGGTCTGCAGATCTGTCTTTCGGGGCTTCAATTCCAAGAATTTGGCCTAAGAAATGATCGGGGAATTCTGGGGGTGGAAATCCAAAAGCCTGCAGCAACACACCTATTTATTTAAACCCTCATGTCTAACAACATAGATCAATATTTTACTCATTTTACATGTGTATCGGCAACTGTGAAACAACAAAAAGAAAAACCAACATGGTTCTTGCATGCTATCCAAAGACAAGTGTAATGCTGTTGTTAATAATTGGGTGCAGTCAAGCTCATTCTGCCTTATGGGACCCTTTCAGGACTCTCTAGCTAGAGAATACTCAGATGTAGTTTATCATTCCCTTCATTTTGAGGCATCCAGGGATTGTGAAACTTGCCCAAGGCCACACAGGCTGGCTGTTCTGGGAATTAAACACAGTGGGGAATTGAACTCCCAGCCTTTGGCTCTACCGCCAGATATATCCAGCCAGGTAATACTATTATTAGGCCATCAAAATATCACACACAGAGTAACTAGCTTATCATTCCTACAGAAGTCTTCATCAGGATAGGCATTATACAGCTGGGGATGGTGTAGAAGAAATATAAGCATTCCGAAAATCATAGGTAGACATATGGACTACATTGGTCCATTTAAAGCGGGTTCTCAAATGAGAGCTGCTGGGTCAAATCCTATGCAGGAAGTTTCAGATTTCATCTCTGAGGATATAGATTTTGGAACTTCCTTTAAACAGAAGAATGCTGCCCAAATATCAAGCCATGGGTTTTGGGACTTCTGTTTTTCTTCCATACCACCTCCAGTGCCGAAAGGCCTCTCCTTATGTAGATTTCTATAGAAATTTAAACCTGCTGTTTCTTGTTGTACTTTAGTGGTCTGATATCATCACTCTTATTTTCAAACTGCAAATTTGAAATTGGCTACAGTGATGTAGTGAGGTCCAGTTGTCTGTGTGACCAGGTGCACAAACAACCAGACAGGCATCCAGACCTCTTTGCATCACCACAGCTGCTGCTGTGTTTGCAGTCACGCATGTGATGAACTGGTGGGGTACTGGCATTAATGTCTTCACCTGAAATCTCTCGGTTTGGAGGCAGAATTGTTGGTGTTTGAATGTAACATTTTCAGCAAATAAGTTTGCATGGGTAAACAACTGAAATACTTGGCTGGTTGAACTGATGCGAAGTACTGACAATGAGCCATGTGTTTTGCATTTAGAATTATTCCAGCACTGAGGAATTTTCTCGGATTGGCCTTTTTTTTTTTTTTTAAACTGGAGCCAAGCACTTCATAGTAAAAGTGACAGACCCTGAATACGTTGCAAATGCTGTTGTAAATAACTATGATGGTTGTAAAAAATGCTTAGTATTTAGTATGGGCTGAAATGCTGTCCTGCTGTGCTGCCGTTCTACCACAATGAGCTTGCTTAGTGTTGGTTTGGTAAATTTAATGTATCTTTATAAAATTGGCTGTTCCTAGTGGTTGAACTAAATTTGAATCCCAACTCTGATGGAGGCTTGCCATGCTTCTGTGTTATCTTGTTTCCCCTAGCCAAATAGAAATTCTTTGAATTTCAAAAAGAAGGTGAAGGGGGATGCAAGAGAGGGATGCAGAGTGCTTGGTGGTCCTTTGTGTAAAAAGTTGGTGATTAATTCTAAACTACTAACTGAGGAGGAGTTTGAAATCACACCCTCCCCCCACCAGCCTTTTGAAGACTGCATCTGTATCCACCTCAGTAACTTAACCTGGCCCCAGCAACAGTCATGAAACTTTCAGACTCTAATAAAATAATATAATTTTCTGAAGTACTACAAGAACTTGGTGCACAGCCTGAAGAAGATGAATTATCATCGAAAGCTCATTGTCTGTTATTTGGTTGATTTTTTAAGAATTTTCTAATAAAGGTATCCTGCATTTGTATTGTTTTGGAGAAGACACAGCCCTTTTCCATTTTTTTTCTGAATTTCATAAACAAAGTGCATCGCATCTGCTACCGGAGGAGAACATCAGAACTGGGACTAGTGAAATTCTGAATTTGTCCCAAAGTAATACTGAAAATGTGTCTGTATCAGACTCTTGATGTCCTGGTCATTGTATTTGTTTCTTAATAGGTTTGAATTTTAAAGGGGTAGTTTAAAGTCTAGAAAAATGGGTTAACTATAAGTTATTTGTTCTCAATTGCTTTTTCTTTGTTTGGTCTGGAAAATGTGAACAGTTGGTTTTACAAAAGACTAAAATTAGGTTTGCTGTATAAGCCAAAAATTTCTCTATGCGTGTGTAATTGGTGGTAAGAGTCATGAATGAGTCTGCCTCTATAATAATTTTAGAACTGCAGAAGAGCTGGAAGAGACCCTATGGATCATCAAGTCCAGCCCTGTCCAAAGAGGCACAGTAGGGAATTGAACTCTCAGTCTGTGGCTCTGTAGCCAGATACCTAAACCATTGAGCTATCTAGCAGAGCCTGTCTAGAGAACTGTTTATACATACCAGTTCAACAGGGAGCCTTGTGCTGCAGTGATTAAACTGTAGTATTGCAGTGAAGACTTTGCTCATGACCTGAATTTGATCTTGAGCTCAGGTAACCGGCTCAAGGTTTATTCAACCTTCCAAGGTTGGTAAATTGTGTACCCGGCTTGCTGGAAGGGGGCACAATCTGTAGCCTACATAATTACCATATTTGCCGGTGTATAAGACTACTTTTTTTGCCCTGAAAAACATGCCTCTAAGTGGGGGAGGGGCATCTTATACGCCAGGTGCACTTCAGTTGGGATAGACATAGCTGCCCATAGTGGCCTTCCGATGCTCACCCGGTGCCCATAGTAGCCTCCCGATGCCTGCCCACCTCATTCTACATACCGTCCAGTATCGCGCGATATCCAGCGTGGCCGCGGCGAGCATCAGCAGCGAGACAGGGGTGCCAACTTTTTCGGTGTGACCAGCCCATTCTGCTCAGCGGGAAGCATCGGCGCTCCAGCCCGCCCTTTGTCTACACAGAGCTCACACTTGCACACTAGTGCCAGTCAAAGGGAGATGCAGGGGCGGGCCGGAGGTGCTGCGGTCACACTGTGGCTGTACAATGGTGACAATAGCACCTTTTATTTGGTGTGTGGAAGGTGTGCGGAAGACGGGGTAGTCTTATACGGCGAGTATATAACAAACTATATTTTGAGTGGAAATGTTGGGGGGTCATCTTATACGCCCAGTCATTTTATACGCCGGCAAATACGATAAATCATAAACCGCCCACAGAGAGGGCACTCTGGGGCAGTATATAATCAGCATGCTTTGCTTTGCTTTTTGTGGCAACGTGCAATACCATTTCATTAGAAAGTAAGGGGTCCCATCAGTTAAATTTAACTTCACTTTTCATTTTTTTAAGAAGATAGTTCAGAATATAATTGATAAAAATGAAAAGGTGACAAGGTGGCCTAGTTACTGTGGAAATAGTAATAAAAACAGTTTTTTGTGAGATGACGTTTTAAGCAGTTCATCTAGCATATGTGTTCCATAGTTTAATTACAACAATAACCAGTTGCCAAGGAAATATTCAACTTTGGCACAGCTATACAAGAAACAACTTTCTTACCTCTAGTGATTTATGTCTAGCAAGGCATGTGCACATATGCACAATTCCATAGTGTGTATGTTATTTCGCTGACCCATTGCCAAGTTATGCTCTCTATCCTCTTCTAATTATTAAGCAGCATGGGAAGAGTTTATTAAAACCACTGAATCCCCAGACTTTTCTTTGCCATATGCATTTCTATAATTTCTTCCTTTTCACATTTAGTTTCCTTTTAAAATCCTTTTGTCAAACAAAACCTTAATTTGAATGCCAGTGGCACGAAAGCAAAGAGAATGCAACATATGCATTCATTGGGTTAGGAGCACTTTTTGTCTGATTAACTTCTTTTCTATAAACTTTGTAGCACGAAAAACAAAGAAGAAAATAAAAGGAATACAGCAATCCAGTGTGACTGCAGGGAGAGACACTGCTGAAAGTTCTGGAAATAAGGCTATAGTTCCTGCCTCCCTACCACAGCTGACTCCTACCCTGGTTTCCCTACTGGAAGTTATTGAGCCAGAAGTGATGTTTTCAGGCTATGACAGCACAATACCTGACACAACTTGGCGTATAATGTCAACTCTGAATATGCTAGGCGGAAGACAAGTTGTAGCTGCAGTGAAATGGGCAAAGGCAATACCAGGTAAGGTGATAATGCTTTCCATGAACATAGACCAGGTCCAATGCATCTTTTTTCTGTCGAAGCTGTAGTCCCTTGGATTATAGCTTCCTTCTCATTTGCTGGAGTACTGGGCTTGGGCTCCTCCCATGCACATGGGGTTCCGGCTGCAACTGGAAGCAACTGGACAGCAACAGTGGCTTGGCTGCTGCATCCGATGCAGTGCTGTGCACCCGTGCAGCCATGTGGCTTAAAGATAACATTGCTTAGAGGCAAGATAAACTATTGAGTCCTGGAAGGTGGCTTGGGCAGAAACGGGATGAAAGCCAATGGTATGGTGTCCCTTCCATTTTTTACTTCTCTTTCAGCCATCTTCCTTCTGTCTTGTCCTTTACCTAGAAGGCTTTCTAGGGACCAACAGAGGTTGCTCCGTCCAGATGTCCGACCAATTGTAAAGTGTTTTTCAGAACAAGTGGTGCAGTTGTTTTGGCTTACCATATTTTTCGCTCCATAAGACGCACCTCTCCATAAGACGCACCAAATTTTTAGAAGAAAACAGGAAAAAAAATCTGTTTTCTTCTCCTAAAAATCCGTAAGCCTTATGGAGAGGTCCGTGTTATGGAACACACCCTAGGACCCTTTGGAGGCTCACCCAGCCCCCCCTGGAGGCCAGAGGGGGCGAAATCGCCACCTTCTGGGACTCTTCTGAAGCTTCCCAAACTTCCCAAGCCTCAAAAGAGTCCCAGAAGCTGGCGATTTTGCCCGCGCTGGCCCCGTGGGGATGGGGGAGCGGCACAAGGGTCCTGGAAGGCTCACTCGGACCCTTGCACCGCTCCCCCCACCCCCACGGGGCCA